AGCACCAGGAGACGGCCCTGAAGTGACCTCTGCCCGTGCCTCCCCTTTTCCAAAAGCTGGGTGAACGAACGAGGCAAGGGCCCTAGTCTTCCCTCACTTTGCACAGCAATCCTCTCTGTGACGAAACGTTCTGCTGACGGCTCCCCTCCTGAACGTAGCATCCTAGCGAAGCCACAGGACACTCCTGGCCGAATCATTCTCTTTCCCTCTTTGTCTTTGACCGTCAGCAGACATCTGCTGCTGACGCGATTAGCACTGGGCCTCCTCCAAGCAGGGGAAAGCGAATGGCACGTGTCCCGGAGCGAAGGTCGGAACCCCCGTCCGCCTGCCACGGAGCCCTGCAGCCACAACTCGTTTCGTGAAGCAACGAGCGTTCCTGGGAGAAGGGCGGCCGCAGAAGGAAAAGGCGACACCGCAACCCCGAGGAAACCACCACCCTGTCACGACCGGCGTGTCCCTCCCGTCGCTGATCTGAAGGTAGGCAGAGTGCCCAACGCTTTTCCTGAGCAATAGGAGAGGGCCCTAAAAGGACCAAAGCCCACGCCTCAGCTTTTGCGCACGGCTCCGTGAACGAACGAGACAGGGGCCCCAGTGTTCTCTCACGGTGCGCAGCAAAAGGCTCCGTGAGGAAACGTTCCACTCGGGGCTTCTGTCCCGAACGTAGAACCAAGTCGGTGCTCCGAGACTCCCTAGGCGGACCCATTCTCCTTCCCGCTAGTTTGAGGCAGTCAGGAGACATCTGCTGCCGACGCGACAAGCACCGTGCCTCCTCCCAGCTTGGGACAGCGAGTGGCCCGCGTCCTGGAGCGAAGAAGGCCGGCAGGGAACCCGGCCCGCCTGCACCTTTCCCCTGCAGCAACAGCTCGCGTCGGGAAGACACAAGCGTTCTCGCGACCAAGTGCGGCCGCAGAAGGAAAGGGCAACGCTGCCAACTCCAGGAAACCAACACCGTCTCACGGCGGGCTTTTCACCCCCATCGCTGACCTGAGGGTAGGCAGGGTTCCAAAGCTTTCCTTAAGCACCAGGAGACGGCCCTGAAGTGACCTCTGCCCGTGCCTCCCCTTTTCCAAAAGCTGGGTGAACGAACAAGGCAGGGTTCCCAGTCTTCCCTCACGGTGCGCAGCAGCGCTCTCTGTGAGGAAACGTTCCACTCGGGGCTTCTGTCCCGAACGTAGAATCAAGTCGGTGCTCCAAGACTCCCTAGGCTGAGTCATTCTCCTTCCCGCTTGTTTGAGGCAGTCAGCAGACATCTGCTGCCGACGCGACAAGCACCGTGCCTCCTCCCAGCTTGGGACAGCGAATGGCACGTGTCCTGGAGCGAAGAAGGCCGGGAGGGAACCCGGTCCGCCTGCAACTGAACCCTGCAGCAACGACTCGTTTCGTGAAGAGACAAGCGTTCTCGGGAGCAAGTGCGGCATGCAGAAGCAAAGGGCGAAGCTGCCAACTCTAGGAAACCAACACCCTGTCGCGACGGGCTTTTCACCCCCATCGCTGATCTGAAGGTAGGCCGGGTTTCCAAAGCTCGCCTTCAGCATCGGGAGGGGCCCCTTCAATGACCAAAGCCTCACCTTTACGCCAAGGCTGTGTGAACGAACGGTGCAAGGGCCCCAGACTGCCTCACTGTGCAACGCAAAGCCCTCTGTGAGGAAACTTACCGCTGACGTCTTCCGTCCTCGGTGTAGAATCCAATCTGAGCTACAAGACTCTCTAGGCTCCATCACTCTCCTTCCCGCTTTTTCAGTCCGTCAAGAGACTTCGGACCCTGAGGCGACAAGCACTGTGCCTCTCCACGGCGTGGGAAGGCGAGTGGCACGGGTCCTAGAACGGAGGTGGAGAACCCAGTCTGGCTGACACGTAACCCTCCGGGAGTAACTGGTTTCTGGCGGACAGAAGCGTTCCCAGGAGGAAGTGCGGCGGCAGAAGGAAAGGGCGCCGCTACAAACCCTGGGAAACCAGCACCGTGGAACGTTGGGCTTTTCACCCACATCGCTGATCTGAAGGTAGACAGGGTTCCAACGCTTTGCTGAAGCAAAAGGAGAGGGGCCTGACATGACCGAAGCCTGCGCCTGCCCTTTAGCCCAAGGCTGTGGGAACGAAAGACACAACGGTCCCAGACTTTCCTCACCGCGCACAGCAAACCTCTCTGTAAGGCAACGTGCCACTCAGGCCGTCTGTCCCGAACGTAGAATCAAGTCGGTGCTCCAAGACTCCCTAGGCTGAGTCATTCTCCTTCCCGCTTGATGGAGGCAGTCAGGAGACATC